AGATAGATTTATATCGCCAAAATAATATTTTTTATATCGTTCGATTTGTTTTGTTATGAAGTTTATTTATTTAAAAAAGTTATTTCAAAATTCTTTATATTGAGCTAGTTATGAAACTTTAAGTCCTAAACCATCCGGAATTAGGGGTTTTTACGGTATTGCTAAGCATATAATATTTTTTATATTTTACGTATTTTACTCAAAAAACGCTTTTTCGCACCTTTTAAGGTAAAAGTTAGTTTTTAAACTTCTTCGTTGAAAGAACCTGGGCAACCAATACCACTTTCAAATTGACGCAGATAAATTTTACAAAAACTTTAATAAAACGTTTTACTCGATGTTCATATACAGAGTGTATCGAGGTTCATATGCCGAGTGTAACCATATTCATAAACCGAGTGCAACAGTATTTATATACCGAGTGCAATTGTATTCATATACCGAGTCTAACGGTATTTAACCTCGTAATATTTTAATTTTTATTTCAAAAATTTAAATGTTTTAGGAGTGTAATTTATACAATTATTGTTTCTTTTATATTTATTATACTACTATTAAAATTTATTTCATAATTATATTATTAGCCGTAAACTGTGGTTATATTCGTTGACAATAAAGCATTAGACGTAACGGAATCTTCACTAATCATAGAATTTAAATTGGCATAAAGAATTAGACTTACCTTTTAACATTTTTCTAGATTTAAAACTAAAAAAAAAACTTTGTTACATCACAAACTTTAGTAGCTCTTGTTCTCGTTAAAATAAATTATCACAAAATCACTATGGTGATTTTGAGATGATTTGTTTTTAGATAGTTAGGTTTTTCCGTTTTATATTTCAATTGTAATATCTCTTATTATTCAGTTATTTATCATTATATTATCATTTAAACATACAAATATTTTATTCAGACGATTCAAAAAATGCTTGATTACGGTAAAAGTGCAACTATTTAAGACCTACTGCTTCTGTTTTTATGATGTGGCTCTATATACAAATCATAATACAAATACTATGTTCAAGCTAAATTCTTGTTACAAGAAATGCGGTAAAAATGTTTTTTGGATATGGCAAGTACTCAAGCGCTACAAATATGTTTATGCTTCTAGGCTTGCCTAATCTGAACACTTTATACACTTCAATCTAAAAAAACAAATTAAACATCTGATATTTTTTAATCCATTTCTAATAAAAACATACTTTATAAAATGTTTACTAGCTCACAAAATATCAAAAATATATTAATAATAATAATATATAATAATATATTTTTAACAAAATTTAAGTGAATATCAAAAACAATTTATTTACTAAATTTAAGTTATTCAAAATAAAATTAGCAACTTGTTAAGATATTTTAATTAATTGTAATATGCATCTTTTTTTAATAACAACATCAATAAAGTAAAGAATACATGGAAAGCAATTAAAGAAATCATAAACATCAAACCTTCAACAAAGGTTAAGTCTTTTATTCTCAAAGTCAATGAAAATGTCATCTCAGATCATACCAGTGTTGCTAATATATTTAATAACTATTTTGCGACTATTCAAGACGAACTACTTAAAAAAACTATTCTCTCTATATGTGTATTGGCAACTTCTAATAAAAACCTAGTACTAATTGTGGTGACAGAAAATGAGTTTGCGATTTCTTAAAAATAATAAAAGTCTTAGTCCCAATAGTCTGCCAACATTCCTTCTAAAGCTTGTCACATTACCTCTAAACTTCTATGTACTATGATGAATAATTCCTTTAAATATTGTATTTTTTTCAAAATCTTTTAAGTTAGCCAAAAGAATTACTTATCTAGGCTACTCCAGTTATCAACCTATTTCACTTCTTTCTAGATTAAGTAAACTGTTTGAAAAACCTTTGTTCAAAAGACGAGAGCATTTTTTGGAAAAATATAAAGTTCTTTACAAACGCCAGTATGGATTTTGCAACAAACACTCAACAACTCATTCACTAATATAAATATAAGAGAAAGTTAAACAAGTCATCAATAATAAAAACTTTCCGTGTGGAGTGTTTATTGCCATAAGAAAAGAATTTGATCAGAATTGAATACCTCTTGTACTTGAGAGTTATAGTTTTTCTAGAAGAATTGCATGCTCCACTGTATTAAGTAGGAGAATTGCATGCTCTACTGTATTCAGTAGATCATGCAATTTCTGGAGTATGGCTGATTTCATATTATAAAGCCATATTTCCATTTTATAATTTGAACTGTTGCATACTCTATTTTTTATTTAAAGTCCGTAAATTGTGTGACCTTATTCAAATATCAAATTGCCAATTTTTTAGAACCAAAATCATAATAAACTACCTCCTACATTTATCAAGTTTTTTAGTTATAAGGAAATTTATAACTACTTTCTACGATCTGCTTTCAATTTTAAATTATCTGTACCTAAATACCGTACTGTTCATTACGGCTATGAATCCATACAACATAAAAGCATACAAACCTGAAACAATCTCCCTTCCCAATTGAAATCTCTCGAATCATTCTCAAAATTTAAAGCTGCTCTCTTTAACCATTTTTTAGAAAAAATAATGTTCATAAATCATATAACTTTTTAAAACTTTTTATTTATAACCCTAACTCGGAGCTCCTATTCATCTTTTATTTTTTCTCTTTTCTATTGTTATATAATACTAATTTTAATATCATTTATTAAATTAAATATTTTAAACTGAAAAAAAATATCTATGACTATTGTTGTTGTTATTACTATATTTTTATCATAATGAATATTATTATTACTGTTGTTGCCATTGTTGTTATAACTAGTTTTATGCAATTTTTTTTATGTTAATATTGTTGTTGCAATTATTGGTATAACTATTATTGTTGCTATTACTATTATTATTGTTATTATTGTATATACTTTTTGAGATCGCTTTATTTATTTTTAATCACTACTATTACTTTTATTATTCCTACATGTATTAAAATTATTATTATCTCCTTTTTATTTTTAATGAGTCAGTCAGGTGTTTACTTTATATTAGCACTAATTACTATTTGTAAATATCCTTGATATAACAACTTTATTCACAATATATTTGATTTGATTTGGTTTTTTATATTTAAAAAAAATATTAAATGGAGAGATTAAAAGTTTTTTTCATAACCAACTTAATTAGTCAGTTAGTTAACGAAGAATCTGCTGCGATTATGCACAATGCATATATGAACGTATATATTTACAAACAAATTGGATTTCGCAATATTATATACGAAAGCACGTCTGGGTATGAATTTTTATAAAGGTTCAAAAGTACAAAGCTTCGGAAACCAACAATGCGTCAGTTTTGGGAATCTAAAGAGTCTCAAACGTTATTGTAATGCAGTGTCTTCTTATTTTTATATTTTTATTGAAGGTATATCTATCATTATTGATTGATGACTTTTTGTGCGCATATTCCAAAAAATAACAAAAAGGTTAATAACATATTTATTACGAACATAATAACCATAATACTTATACTAACTTCAAACATAAGAGCAGCAATACAAAATATAAAACACTCGTTGAAACATTTCGAGTTTAACCGTTTGGGTCAGTTAATGAATAAAAATAAGTAAATAACAAAAGTAAATTTAATTTTTCTATTTTTATACTAGTTTTTTTTTTTGCATAGAAAAGAAAGAATAATTTAGACTTTTACGTTACTTGGAAAAGAAAATATATTAATGTTAATAAAAAAAAATAAATGTTAATAAAATATAATAAAATGTTACAACAATTTTTACAACAACAAAACAATATATTTCGTGTTACAGATGTTACAAAAACACAGGTCATTGCAAATAGTGATTCTCTAATAAAGCACAATGACCTAAATAAGATAAAAAATAATATAAAATAAATAATATAAAAGGTTATAAAAGGAAGTTAAGTTAAATAAGTAAACATAATATTAACTAATAAAAGTAAAATTGCATAAAAATTTATTTAATTTTACCAAAAAAATCAGACTTTTTAATATATATAACAGTTAATATAATGTACATTTATATATGCACAAAAACTTAAACAAGAATTATAATAAAATAAGTAAGTTATAATGAAAATTATTATTTAAAATAAAATATTAAAAATAAAATAAAAATAAAATAATAAACTATAATAAAAATAAGTCAAAAGATAGAAAGTTAAAAATTAAAAACTAAAGTTAAGCGTAACCTTTTAGGTAGAAATGATGGAGTGATTTTATGAACAGATTCTAGAACCTAAGGATGAGACCTGAATTTAGAGTGTTCGGAAGGGAGTACACTGGTATGTAATGGAATTAATTCCATTTAAATTAATTTCAGTTAACAAAAATGTTTCAGTTGAAAAAATAATTGAAAAGTCTCTTTAAAGTATTAGCAACTGGCAACTATGCCAACCATTTTCAAATTTTATTCAAATAATCATCTGGCCTTTTAAAATCATATTCAGTTATAAAATAAAAATAAAAAAATACAATCTCTTAATAAACAAGCCGTTGCATAGAGAAAATCTTTCAGGGTAAAATTCGACGTCAAATTTTATATTACGTCAAATTAACAAGTTTCTAGTTAAGTTATTGAATCAGAGTCAGAATCACAAATTATAATTGTAACGAGCGATTACTACGCATTTTTTGCAAAAACAAATTTCTATTTTTGAAAATATGGTTTCCGCCAAAAAGAAATTCATTTCAATTCTAAGAAACCTATGTTGCTGTGTGAGATCAACAGAAACAAAAGAACAAAAGTAAGTGAGCTTTTAATTATTATAATAAAAAAATTCTTGAGAATAAGTACAAACGAGATTAGCATTATTATAATATTTTCCTGAGTTTGTCAAGTTTCATTTTCTTTAATTGATTTAAAAAAATTATTTTTTTAAATTTAATTAATGAAAATAATTAAATGATTAATGACTAAGTGAAAAAAATGATTAAAAGAACAAAAAAAAACGATTAAATGAAAATAACAAGTTGTATTAAATAATGCGTATAATTAAGTAAATTATTGTAATTACTTGTAGCTCAATAAACGAAAGTAAAGATTTCTCTACTTGGAGTAGTATACCATCTGATATCAACAATTTTGACAATCATGAAACAGTAAAACCTATAGAAAATTGCAATTCGTCATCGATGTTGGGAAAACTTAATCCTATAACTCCAAGTTATGTTTTAGCTGCACCCAATTGCAACAAAGTTGATATAACAAACCAGGATTTACTTGATACATCATCCGAAAACTGGAGACAAAGTTGTTTCAGTAAAACAAGCATATCAAACATTTCTCAAAAAAATAAGGTAAAATTTTAACTTTCCAGCATTTACATGTAACTGTTACTCTTTTTAAATTTTAAAATATAATTTTTATATAAACATTACTTCTAAATTTTTTTTCGAATTCAAATTAGACCGAGTTAGAAGCTATAACAATCAAGCCGATTCATGCTTTATCTAAGAGTCAATCATTTGAAGGTTATAAATTCAGACTATGTGAATTAGAAAAATTAAGTACATCTTTGCCCAATTTAATGCAAGATAAAGATAATAAATTCGCTGACTATACTGATAATATTGCAAGAAAAGATACTTTGTTTTCCGAATTCGAAATGGTAAAACTTTACATTATATATTTGAATTTGCTTTATCTATAACCTTTGGTCTCCATTATATCAATCTCGATTATATCAATCCTTGGGTATAACTTTTATAGTCTCGATTATATCAATCCGAATTTGACGTTTGCACTATACTATTATATAGTGAAGGGTTGTTAGAAATTAAAAAGTTTAATCACCGATTATTAATAAAAATAATGATAATAATTATAATAATAATTATTATGATAGAACTAAGTTTTAAAAACTGGGTTTAATTCGCTTTTACGTCAACTTAAAGTATTATTATTGTCTTAAGCGGAAATAACTTAATATATTACAATTTTTTTATTTTGCTTTTTTAAGTTAAAAGTACTAAAATTTAGTTTTGGTTTCAAATATTTGCTCAAATTTTCTTTAAATTTAGTTTTATTTAAGTTTAGCGACATTACTTTTGTTAAAAATTTAGATATTATATTGCTAATTTAATTAGTTTTTAGGTAAAGAATATTAGTCCTAAGGTTTAATTTATGGTAAACATAACCTAAGTCTATAGACTATAGTTTTGATTTTTATCACTTTATAGACTATAGTTTTGATTTTTATCACTTAAAGTTTTGATTTTTATCACATGTTAGATCTAACGAGTGATAAAAATCAAAACTATATTTCCTAGACAAAACAATTAAACACTCTGAATATAGCCACGTTTACAAGTCTCTGCAAACAAACCTCATTTAGAAAATATTTTATTTAAATATTTTTTTTAGAGAGAAAATAAAGTTGAAAGCAACTCTTTCGAATTGGCAGTTGAAAAAGTAAAATTAGTCTTCCATATTTATGTATACAAATATATTGTTGTTGCAATTACTCAAACCTAGTTTATTGCGTGTATATATATATATATATATATATATATATATATATATATATATATATATATATTATATGTTATTAATCGATTATTATTTATTGCTTAAAGGTAAAAAAGCTAATTGAAAGCCAACGCGATAATATTGTTAATCTTCAACAACAAGAATCAGAAACGATGAATGAAATTAGCAGAAACGAGGCGATAGGATATAGTATTATCGATATTCTTAACAAACATGAAACTTTAAAAATTGAAGAGTTTTTAAAATCGATCAACAATTTTTTGAATAAAGTAATATTTCTCACGCAAAAAGTTAATCGTTATGAAATTGAACTTCATGAACTCGAGGAAGATAGAAGTTTTAAAAAAGTATAGATTTTATTATTTTTTATTTTCATTTTGCACTGTAACAAATCAAATAGATTTTCCATTTAGTTTAAAATATTTTTAAGATTTATTTACTCATGATTTGGATAAGAAGAAAAACTTTATATAATTACTTTATTGTAAGTAATATTCAAACGCATTAAAAAGTTTAGTAAGTTAAACTTCACACTTGTAAATATCAATTATTTTAAGTAATCCAAAAAATAAGTAAATTGTACGATAAATACTTAAATTTTTTGTCAGCCAAAGTTGCTCATTTTAAACTTATTTAATTTTAGAACGCAATTATCAGAAAAATACTAATGTTAGAAAACGAAATAGAAGAATGTTACAGAAGTTTACGAAAAATAGGGTATAGACGCGGTAATCACATACACCTAATACTAAAAAAACATCTTGAAGAAAATGACATTAAAACATTTGAAATTTACCTTGGTACAAAATCTGATCTTGCATGGAAATTAGCGGAAATACGTGAAAATATTGAAGTTGAAAAAGATTGTTACACATCACTTCAGCAACTCGCACTAAATTGGAACTTTCAAACTTAATCTTTAAAACAATCAATCATCGCATAAAATGAGTATTAATATTTATGAAGCCTTTTTATTTTTATATTTTTCATAGTGTAATTATTTAATTCTTTTTATAAAACTTTACTTGAGTTTGATAGTTTTTCGTGAGCTCTGTTCTTATATCAGGTGTTTTTGGAAATAAGTCGTTAAAAACTATAAATGCCGCTTCGAATCACTTTTCACGACAAAATAATTAATAGCAGTTGCGGGTAGCTCGCAATGCGAGTTATTAGTTAATACTATATTTCTTATTATTATTAGTTATTATAATGCGTGTTATTAGTTGATAGTTATTAGTAAATAAACCATTTCTAGCAATTTAACTTGATATAAGGTCATTCCATGCCACACGGTCTAATTTTCGGAATCATCTCCACTCGACTATCTCAGATTTTAATCAAAGCTTGTTAATATACATTTATACATGCTTCATGGACGTTACCAAAGTTTTATGTCAAAATGTTAGTTCTTTTGGATTTTGTTTTTGTAAGGTTTACCCATATTTCAATATTCATCAGTTGCTGAAAATCGTATTTTTCGGGTTTTATATTTTTTTTAATAAAGTTATACTGGATTTGATTCTTTATAAAGCGAAGGTGCAGATTGCAAATTATTTATTAGAACTTTCATATCATGCCTAGAATTTAGTCTATGACCCAACAAATAGCGTCACAAGTTTAACATCATAACATTTTTTTGTTTTTTTGTAAGATCATATCTCTCGAAAAAAATGGTTTTCAGTTTTGTTATTTTTCATGAAGGTTCTACGTACTAATATGATGATATGGATAAAAAAACAGCTTTTTAAAAATTGACCATGTTGGGTTATTATGAAATCAATATGGCGACAAAACTGGAATACCCTATTATAACATGTGTTTAAACCCCTAAAACTTAATGTGGGCAAATTTTTTTTTTTAATTGTATCATTTAAAAGAGATTATTTCACACTTTTAGAAATAATGAAACATACTTGGGAGAATTTTTTTCTACGAACTAAAACGATCTAGTTTATATGACCTATGTTAGGTCTACAAATTCAAGTAAATAATTTGACAATATTGATAATATTGTTAATTGAGGTAGCGGTGTCTTGGTAGAGCGCTCGCTTCATATGTGAGAGGCTCCGAGTTCAATCCCCCCTACGTCCCTCGTAATACGGCGCTTAATTTTTTTCTTAGTGCATTGGCATTATTCGCCAAGGTTCATGTTTTGGAGTTATAGAGTTGGGAGAGGGTTTTAACCACAATTAAGTTGCCTACTTGTCTGTAATGGACTTCTCAGCCTAGGGAAGGTGAATTAACGAAACAAAAAGAAAATTACCTTCTTTTTTGAGATTTTAACTTCACTTTTAAGAATAAAACTTGTTATTAAAAGATATTATGCTAGTTATGAAAAAGTAAAAATTTGGAAAGTGAAAATAACATTTGCTTAAAAAACAGCTGTGGTCTATCGCAAAATAATAATGTCCTACCATGTGACTCATTGCAAAATAGTAATGTCCGACCATTTAGCAGTGACAGTGTGGAGTGTGAGAATTGCATTAACTGGCCAAATTTAAAAATCAAAACTTTTTGACAATTTTTGACAAAGTGGAGCAGGGGGATGATATCAAGAAAAATTGATGTCAGCAACTTTAATTTTTTTCAATAAATTTAGTTATTTAAAACAAGGAAAATTAGGCAGCGTTTGTAGGCTTATAATACACAATCAAACAACCTTCAGTATTTTAATGACACTAAAAAAGTTTTTATATTTTTAAAACAGTTTTTAATTTACATTAATGATCTCACAGAATTTCACCTATCTAAAGTGGCATTTTTTGCTGATGATGCAACTATTTAAACTAGTCTGGGTAAGAAACCAGACAGAGCATTTGAAAGAGGGGGCATTTGCGCTTGAAAAGAATCTCACTTTTGCTAGAGCCGGGGTTCTCAGTGGCTGGTTATCTTTAACTCAGATAAAACTTAATCTTTTTCAGCTAGTCGTTATTGCAATAATCTAGATCTTCCCATATTTATAAACGGTAGTATACTTAATGAGTCATCTACTCATCGTCTTCTAGGATTATTTTTTTCTTCCGATATTTCTTGTTCTCCATCTTTCAAATCAATAACAAAATTAATATCTAATATATATATATATATATATATATATATATATATATATATATATATATATATATATATATATATATATATATATATATATATATATATATATATATATATATATATATATATACATATATATATATATATATATACATATATATATATATATATATATATATATATATATATATATATATATATATATATATATATATATATATATATATATATATATGTATGTATATATATATATATATATATATATATATATATATATATATATATATATATATATATATATATATATATATATATATATATATATATAATATATATATATATAACAATTATTAAAAGCACTTATCTAATTTTTATTTTCTTCTACAGCTTGTTTCTCCATCAGTAGGATCATCAGGAACATTTCTGATGATCCTACTGATGGAGAAACAAGTCTTTATGTGTATTATGTGTAAATGTGTTTATGTTTGTATGTGTATGTGTATATTTATAAGCCTTACAGAGTAGCATTGGATAGATTACAGAAGAATTATTTTTATTATAGACGAAAAAAAACATGAAACTAAATCATAAGTATTTGTTAAAAAAGATAAACATTTTTCAATAAAATAAAGATCAATATTATAAACCTAAAACAAAACATCCTATTTATTTATACTTTATTGTTAACCTTGTACATATACTTTAAGAAAATTAATCTCGTGGAGAAATTAGCTGTAGATATAGAAAATAAAGTAGAAATACCCAATTAAAATATCAAATAATAATCATTGAATAAAGATTATTGACAATATATTTTGATTTTAAGAAACGTGAAATTTATCTGACAATCACAGACAAAAGCATTTTGAGTCAGTGGCTTGTACGGCTATGTAATTTCTTTGCAATCTACTATAGAATATTGATGTAATAAGTTGTTAACATATTTTTGTTACTTTAATTAAATGTGAGTTTTTAGGTAAAGAAGAAAATAATGAAGAATAATGAAAGAAAAGATTGCTACCCTATGCCAAACACTCAGTCGATGTAGCAGTACTCCGCTGAAAATTAGGCTATTTGTCAGTCAATGTATGCACTGAAGCCGCCAGCAGCAGGCTATTACAGTATGACGTCACATTTCCTAAACCAGCGGTATAAGATACATATTTATTTACAAATTTACATAGCGCCGAAACCCTCCACACTGTCTCATCAAAAAAAAAAAACTTCTTTAAATTTTTTTATTATACTTATATATCAATACGTAGCTCCAATTTAATTTGCATCAAGATAATTGATATTTGTTTTCAAAATAAAAATTTGTCAAACATGGACCTTGGTCCATGTTTGACTAGTTCAAATAGAAATGATATTTAAAATGTCAAATGCTTAAAACAGGATAAGTAACAAGTAGTAAAATTTTGTAATAAAAACAAAACGCAATTAATATTTCTTGTGGATTAGAGGTTGGATACAAGCTAACAATAAATATTGTACTAGTTAAAGATTTAGTTTTGGAAGAGTAAATACTTTTAATGTTACGCCAGAAACATTATGGTTCATTCGCAGATTCGCGCAGTATATTTCCGCGGTAGTTTTGCTTTGTCTTACAAAGCGTTAACTTCATTTCTCTTGATTTTCATAGAGCCGCTTGTCAACTGCTAACTTTGATTTACGAAACATACAGAGTAGCTTTTTACGTTTATTCATATGGTATTTTACTTCTCTCTTTTTTAAGCCATCAATATGGTTTGCCTCGAATACGTTTTTCAATATTTGGACATAAGGTATCGAGACATTTCAAAATTATCTGCTTCATGTTAGTCCCTGATGTGTTAACATTAGTTAAAACATCTTTTTCTTGTCACCATAAGAAAAAGATGCGAAACAAAATTTTAATTAAACAATTTTATTTCTAACATAGGTGAGTAAAATAAAAAGAAAAAAAAAATTATAATAATCTTTTTTATTTCAATTGAGGGTGAAAAACTAGGTTAAATTCTTAAAACGTCCCCACGCTCTCCACCCTATAGTTTTAGTGTAGTAGTGTAAATTAATAAATAGATATGTTTAAAAAGTATATTGTTAAGCATGTAATATTTTTATATTTTGTATCATGCCAAAAACTATATGTTGTAATGTCTTTTTTGCAAAAAGCTTTATTATTGTTTATATAAATAAAGCAACGAAAATCTATAATTGGCGCAAATGTATAAAACACAAACAGTAAGAATCAAAAGGCACATTTGTAGTAGATAGATAACTCTTAACTATTTCCTAAAAATACCAGGCGAATGACTCTTATTTACTCAAAACTAAATTTTGAGTTTACAACATGATATTTATTATTTTCCAACCAATATATTTTATAATTCCTTTTTTTCAATACAAACATTAAAAATTGCATATATTTTGATATATTTTTCAGAATCTTATTTTATTTTATTTTGTGTCATAAAAATACCGAAGTTTGTTTGATTGTGTATTACAACCCTACAAATGTTGCCTAATTTTCCATTTTTTCAGTAATGAAATTTATTTAAAAAAGTAAAGTTGCTGACGTCATTTTTTCTTGACTTTTAACCCCTTACTCCCCGTTGTCAAAAATTAGCAAAATATTTTGATTTTAAAATGTGTCAATGCAACTCTTACACTCAACACTGGCACTGCTTAATTGTAGGACATTATTATTATGCGATAAACCACTAACAGCAGCCGTTTTTTAGCAACTGTTATTTGTACTTTCCGAAATTTTCCTTTTACATAACTAGCATGATCTCTCTTACTTGCAAGTTTTATTCATAAAAATGAAAGTACATTTTCAGAAAGGTCAGTATTTTTTTTATTTTTATTTGCTTTGTTTTATTATGTTAATTCACCTCCCAAGGGCTGAAAAGCCTACTACAGACGAGAAGGCTACTTAATTTAGGTTGTAACTCTCTCTAAACTCTATAAATCTAAAACACGAATCTTGACGAACAAGGCCGCTGCTCGGAGAAAAAAGTTAAGCGGTGTAGGGGAGAACTTGCACCCTTGATCCGTAGGCACCTTTGATCCTATAGCGTTATATCCATACTTACATAACTTATTAAAGAGGGCTGATAACCGGCGTGTTATAAATATTGTATCTTCAAAGTTAATTGTCTTTTGGTTAGAGAATAGACCACTATTGAATTTATTTCTAAATAGTTTGATTTTGACGACAAAAAGTAATTTTTTTACTTTTACAAGGAACCTCACATCTTTAATATTTTTTTAAGTTGAATAATTTTG